TTGAGGCAACACTTGATATTTCTTATCTGTTTGAGATAGCACATTAAATTAAGGAATTTATATTGTCATTATGTTGGAGGATTATGTTAGTTACAGTTTCTTACGTCATCATTACCGTTGTATTTTATATCTATTTATAATTTATTATACAGATTTATTGGACTAGTAGTAAGTGTCGATGTCTACCCCTCATCACTACTTCTCCAGGGTTAGGCTAGATATTTATTGGGTACGCGTTGATTTAAGTACTCATGCTAAACTTCTGCACTGATTGTGCAGGTACTCAGACAGATACTTTTGGTAGTCACTTGGGCGCATGTGCACAATTGTTGAGGGGACTTTACGGTGAGTTGTATTCCATGTTATGATATGCAGCATACAGAGTCTCCATTTTATTCATTTGTTTTGTCGTGTCTATTTTGCATTCCAGGCAGATGTTGTATTAGTTTTGTTCTAGTAGATGCTCATGCACTTGTAACACCGAGTTTGGGAGATTTAGATTTTACTCTTGATTGTATTCCGCTATGGTCTTCTGGTTTAAATTATTGCCTTATTCAAACGTTTAAAATAATAATATGTATACTTTCTATAAAAACGAACAATTTCTACTCCTTATTTCCTCAATTGTTTCTAAATGCATTTTGGATAAAATATTATTGTGTTGGTTTATTTTTTGGCTTGCCTAATGATGGCGTTGGGCGCCATCACGGCCTATAATGGGATTTGGGTCATGACAACTTGATATCATAGCACTAGGGTCTCGTCTATCGCACATGATATCCATGATAGAGTCTCGTGAAAAAAATAAAAATAAAAAAATAAAAACTTATATGGGAATATGGAATTCGAAACCTCGTTGTTTAGAAATAAAGAATTATATTTGGTTGTTACTTGCTATCGAAGCAGTAATTATATTATTTGTTCGAATTCATACCTAATATTGTAGCTTCGTCTCTTATTAGAACTTAGGAGTCTTATTTACGTTATAAGTTGTATGCGTTAAAAGTTTAGATTAGGTTAATTATCATGCTAATAGATAGTTGTTAAAATATTTTTTTATTTTGTATTATTATCAATTACTAAATATTTTCTTTTAACTTGCAAGATTTAGACAAATAGTTATCATAAATTATTTTTAATTCTTTGTGTACATTAAAGTCAAATAATGCATTTTAAGAGCAAAAATGCATACATCAACTTTATATGAGAATTTTGATATATCAACCTTTTACTTGATATCCTCCCACTTTTATAATTTTAACATATGGATATTCTTTACTTACTCGGACACGATTGTACCAAAAAATTTAGAAAGTAAATGGGAAAAAGGGAAGGTAAATATCAAAGAAGCAAAACGAGAAGAATAAAGAGGATTTTTTTCATATATGAAGAAGCTTACGTGGGTTGTGGAGTGTGAAAGAATTGGGTCTTTAATGTTAGACTAAAAGATGAAAATAAAATTTGAAGTTATATACAAGATGGGTCAAACCAAATGAGAAGGTAAAACATGGGCTATTTTTACTAGCATTATTCTTTCAATTGTATTAACCCGTAATTTTTTCATTTTAGCATTTGCATATTTATTCTAGGATGACAATTAGAAAACCACCATAGTTGGTGTTCAAGATTGTTAGATATAACACTTGATTGATTTTTTTTTAAAAACAGTAAATTACTGAAAACTTTATGTTTGAATCATATATGAGATTTTAAATTTGAACGTAAAACTTAGATCTGAAATTTGAGGTTAAGTTCGAAATAGGTATTGTTGGGTTTGTTTGAAAACATCATTGGATGTTATTCTATTTGGTTGGAAATATTAAGAAGAGTTCAAAATCTCAATTTGAAGTGAATTGAAGTAGAGTTAAGCTACATTTGAATTAAATTTCGCAAAGACTCAAGGAAGAAGACGAAGTCAGTTTTTTTTTATAACAATGTATAATGTTATATACTAGTGTGTATGTGTGTATTAACAGCTCTTATACACTATTATACACTTTTATACACTTACAAAATGTATCTGCGACGAACTTCTATAACTTTCCGTTGCAATTCTTGTTCAAAATCAATCTAAATCTCTATTAAATGACTTCAAATTTTATAGACAATCTTTTAGATTAATTATAATAAATCTAAACAATACCCACTCCAAATTCTCACAAAATCATAATCAAATTTTAAATTCACTTATTTAAGCTTGTGCAATAATGATGGATTATCTAAAAATCTAATTTTCACCACCTAAATAGATTTAATTTGTTAAAATAATGGTTGAGTCACAATTGTTGATTTAGAAATTGAGTTAGAAGTTTGATAAATAAATAAAAAATACTGAGGAGGGACTTTGAGAACCTATTTGAAGTTGAACTTGAATCTTGGCCTATTTTTCTGGGCTACAGTTTTGCAAAGCTGTATATAGGCTACCCGGTCGCAATGTATGTGTATGAGTTGTACTTATATGTAATTCTCTTTAAATAAAATAGTTCTAATAAAATTAATTAGAAGAAATAAAATAAGCAGTTTTTCAATTCTGAATTGACAGACAAGTATTTAAGGACCTGTTTGTCCATAGATTTTTTTTCTTTTTTCGATTTTTTTTTCAAAAAAGTGTTTGTCCATGAAATTTAGCAAGTTTTAAAAAAATCTTGGAAAAAAGGTTTTGACCACTTTTTCAAAAACATTTGTTTTCTCACTCACAAAACTGCAATAGTTTTTCAAGTAAAATGCATGTCCAAACATAATTTCAAATTTCAAATACCATTTTCAACTTAACTCCAAATACTATTTTTTTTCAAAAATTACAATTTTTACGTTCAAACGCCTACTAAGTCTACAATCTTTTTGTTTTGTCCATCATCTAAAATGAAAGCAAAATATTATTTCCAAATAATATTTCGATATAATTATTACAAAATTAAAGTTTTCTAGAGATTAATAATCATCAAATTTTACTCTTAAAGTTACCTTAGTTGACTCTATATCAATAACTCATTTATAAGAGTGAGAAAATGAGCAACTTATTCTTAGGATAATTAAAGTAAAAAAAGGGTAAAGTGGAAAATAAAAATAAAAAGATAAGGCAATATCTCACTAGTAGGGTTTTTGTCCAAAAGCCTCGCCAAACTATCACTCCTCTTCCTCCTTAACTTCTCTCCCATTTTCTCCTCTCTCACATTGGCCAGGTACTCGTTGTCAAAACTGATTCTTGGGTTATTTAATGGAAAATTCCTTGGGGGTTTTGAGTTTTCTTTAGCTCGCATATATTCTGTTACATTATTAGAAGTTAAGGTTTTTTTCTAATTCCGAAAATTTATCGCGCTAACTTGTATCTTGTCTTTTTATTTTTTGGTTCTAATATAATTTGTTTCCTCTTATTTATTAGCAGCAGATTTTGGCAATGGCAACATCTGCTTGAGGCATCACTGCAACAGAATTCTTACAAATATGATTATTACTGATTTTTTTTCATAATATGTTTTGTATAATGATGTTGAGAAAATTGTTTAACTTTGATATTTATTTAAATTGTAGGGTTTTGGTAGACAAAAGAATTATGCTTGCATGTTACTTGCTATCGAATACATAGTGTGCTTTAGTTACTGATTTATAATTAAATATTTATCATATTTAATGGATTTTCTAAGATAAATATAGGGTCTAAACAATAATTACCGTATTCGTTGGAATTCGTACCTAATATTGTAGCTTCACTTCTTATTAGAACTTAGGAGCCTTATTTAAGTTATAAGTTGTATGCGTTAAAAGTTTAGATTAGTTTAACTGTCATGCTAATAGATAGTTGTTAAAATATTTTCTTATTTTGTACTATTATTAAATACTTATATTTTCTTTTAACTTGCAAAATTTAAAAAATTAGTTATTATAAAATATTTTTAATTCTTTTTGTACATTAAAGTAAAATAATGCATTTTAAGGGCAAAAATGCACATCAACATCTTACTTCATATTTCCCACTTTTATAATTGTAACACATGGATATTCTTACTTATTCGGACATGATTGCACCAAAGTAATAGTGTCTTGAGCTTAAGTTTTATCCATATAATATACTTATATATTCATGTTACTTATTAGATAATTATAAATAAATTTTGATATATATTAATTAATAATATAATAAAAATAATAACTAACATACTATTTTAAGTAAAATTTATTAAAAAGAATCTTTACATTAATAAGTTTAACACAATCTTATCTGCTTAGTACAGATAAATTATATCTACGTAAGTTTATTACTTAACTATCATTAGTCTCAACTTGTTAATTTGCAACGTGATTATCACTACCTCATGCAAATGAAAATATCATAAAATTTAAATTTATTGCTAAATAAATTTAGATTTTTGTCATGAATATTAATCAGTATGAGATTGGTCTCATACTTCCATTAATTACAAAGACTGGGCTTGCTCACAAATTAAATTCAGCAAAGACCCTACTTTTTCTATTCTCTACCAGATGTTAAGTAGCAAAAATTGTACAAACAAGATAATAACAAAATGATAATAAAATAAAGTATGTTTCAGTTTATCTTTTGTTATCATTGTTAATGTTAAAATAAAATTCTATTCATTGTTTGTGGCAACAAAGGCATACACCACGGACAAAGACAATTTGAACTTAGAAGTATTACGCCATGTTGTTTATCATATAATACTTCATTAATGAGGATCAGGGAACAAAAAAGATTTTTAAAAAAAAAAGAGAAATAAAAAATTCATGCCATTAATAAAAGTAATTGAAAGAAATAAAATAATCAGTCTTTTAATTTTTGAATTGACCGACAAGTTTTTAAGTCTAGGATCTTTTTGTTTTGCAGTTTAGCCCATCATCTAAAATAAAGCAAAAAAGGTATTTTCTGAATAATTTTTTTATACAGAATATAAACTACTACTACTTTTCTAAAGATTAACAATTATCAAATTTTAAGTTGACTCTATATCAATCTTTAATTTAGAATAATATTTGGAATAAAGTAGAATGAAAAAAGAAAAAGGAATATTTCAGTACTAGGGTTTTTGTCCAAAGCTTTAGCCAACACTCTCTCTCACGTTGGCTTTTCCCCTCTCACGTTCGCCATAATTTTAGCTGATTTTGCTAAAACCGTAACTTAAAGGTACATTGATTCTTTTTTCTTTTTTCCTGAAAATTTGTGGAGAAGGATTTTATGTGTATTTCAAGTTTTGATTTTTATCACACACAAATTTGCGTGTACTCTAATTCTAGCTCAGTTTTTATGCTAAAAAGCTTTTTGCGTGTGTTGAAGGAAACACCAAAACTGGGGTAAAGGACTCCCTTGTAACAAATATTGTTCTAGAGTGGGGTATTTAATTGATTTTTTTCTGGGGTTATTTGATTTTGAGTTTTCTTTAGCTCGCGTATATTCTGTTACTTTTTTAGAAGTTTAGATTTTTATAATCCCAAAAATTTATCGTGCTTACTTGCTTCTTGTCTATTTTTTTTTTTGGTTCAAAAATAATTTGTTTCCTCTTATTTATTGCTATTGAAGCAGCAGCAAATTTTGGCAATGGCAACATCTGCTTGGGACATCACTGCAACAGAATTCTTACAAGTATGATTATTACTGATTTTTTTCTAGAATATGTTCTGTATAATGATGTTGAGTAAATTGTTTAATTCTGACATTTATTTAAATTGCAGGGTTTTGATAGACAAAAGCTAGCATTACCCAGACATTCCAGTAAGCAGACGAATCGTTTGCTTTGGGGTACACTTCCAAGACAAAGCCCTGTTAAGCATTCACATAAGAATTTGAGTTTAAGGTCTCATATTCCGGCGAAGATTAGAGCTGTGGTTTCGAGGGATATCAGCAGCGTCGTTAATGAAGATGTTCAGGTGGTTGCCGAGAAGGTGATGCATTTATATCGTGTTCCATTTCTACAGGACAGTGCCACTGCTGAGCTTCTCAAGCTGGTTCAGACAAAGGTCTCTAATCAGATAATTGGCTTGAAAACAGAACAGTGTTTCAACATCGGGCTCAATTCAGATATTTCAAGTGAGAAACTTTCTGTGCTTAAATGGGTTTTAGGAGAAACTTATGAACCTGAGAACTTGGGAAGTGAGAGTTTCCTCGATGAGGAGAAGAGGAAAATTCCAGATGCATATATCATTGAAGTTGGTCCACGGTTATCTTTCACTACGGCGTGGTCTGCTAATGCAGTGTCCATTTGCCAAGCATGCGGATTAACAGAGATAAATAGAATGGAGCGTTCTAGGAGGTATTTATTATATGTCGACGGGTCACTTCTGGATAGTCAAATTAATGAGTTTGCTTCAATGGTTCATGATCGGATGACAGAGTGTGTTTATGTTGAGAAGCTTAATTCTTTCAAGACAAGCATAGTTCCAGAGGAGGTTCGATATATACCCGTCATAGAAAGGGGTCGAAAGGCATTGGAGGAGATTAATGAGAAAATGGGCTTGGCTTTTGATGAGCAAGACTTACAGTACTACATCAAACTTTTCAGGGATGACATGAAGCGAAACCCGACGAATGTGGAATTATTTGATATTGCTCAATCTAACAGCGAGCATAGTAGGCACTGGTTCTTTACAGGGAAACTTGTGATAGATGGTCAACCTGCAGATAAGACTCTTATGCAGATCGTCAAGAGCACTTTGCTTGCAAATCCAAACAATTCGGTTATTGGTTTCAAAGATAATTCCAGCGCTATCAAGGGGTTTCGAGTGAAGCAATTGCGACCTATCAAGCCTGGTTCGGCATGCTTCTTGGTCATGATTACCAGTGACCTAGCTATCTTGTTTACTGCAGAAACCCACAATTTCCCTTGTGCTGTGGCACCTTATCCTGGTGCCGAGACAGGTGCAGGCGGCCGTATCCGGGATACCCATGCTACTGGAAGGGGTTCTTTTGTTGTTGCATCTACAGCCGGATATTGTGTTGGAAATCTTCATATTGAAGGTTCATATGCTCCTTGGGAAGATCCTTCTTTCACATACCCAGCAAATTTGGCTTCACCGCTGCAGATCCTTATTGATGCTAGTAATGGAGCATCGGACTATGGGAACAAATTCGGGGAGCCTTTGATTCAGGGTTATTGTCGAACGTTTGGAATGAGACTGCCAAGTGGCGAGAGGAGGGAATGGTTGAAGCCGATCATGTTTAGTGCTGGCATTGGGCAAATAGATCACCTTCACTTATCAAAGGGAGAACCCGAGATTGGTATGTTGGTAGTTAAGATTGGAGGACCAGCATATCGTATTGGAATGGGAGGTGGCGCTGCATCCAGCATGGTCAGTGGACAGAATGATGCCGAGCTTGACTTCAACGCCGTGCAGCGTGGAGATGCTGAGATGGCACAGAAGTTGTATCGGGTTGTTCGTGCTTGCATTGAGATGGGGGACAACAACCCGATCATAAGCATTCATGATCAGGGTGCTGGTGGAAACTGTAATGTCGTGAAGGAAATAATACATCCACAGGGCGCCAAAATTGATATAAGGGCAATTGTAGTTGGCGATCACACGATGTCTGTTCTGGAAATTTGGGGTGCAGAATATCAGGAGCAAGATGCCATACTAGTGAAGCCTGAAAGTCGTGATCTTTTGCAAGCAATCTGTGCGAGGGAAAGAGTTTCCATGGCTGTTATTGGAACAATTAATGGTGAAGGGCGTATTGTCCTGGAGGATAGCGTGGCAATTGAAAAAACCAGGTCTGGTGGACTGCCCTCATCCTTAAAGTAAAACTAAAATTAATTTCTTAAAGAATAACAATCATGAATTTTATTACCTAAGTTGACTAGATATCTATCACTCAATTACAAACCTCTGTCAATTCCGCCCTAAAACAACAACAACATACCCAGTATATTCCTTGGGCAATTCCGCCCTAAAACTAATGATAATAAATTATATTAAATTTTTAATCAGGCATTTGTTCTTAGAAGAGTAATTTAAGTTTTAAAAAAAAGGAATATCTCACTACTAAGCTTTTGTCCAAAAGTTCCAACACATTCACTGGCGGTGCTCAAAACTGAATTTTTTTATGGATGCTGAAAATTTGTGGAAGAAAGAATAAATATTTATTTCAAGTTTTGATTTTTGGCCATGATATTTGTTGATTTTGGTAAAGCAGTAACTCAAAGCTATTTTCTTGTTGTCAAAATTGTATATTTTTTTTGTATGCTGAAAATTTTGGAGAAAGATTAATATTTATTTCTGAGTGTTGGTTTTTGCAGTGCAATGCTGGTGTGTATGGCATTCTTGGTCCAATTTTTGTGCTAAAAAGCATCTGGTTGTTTGTTTATTGAGAAAGAACCAAAATTTGATCTTTTTTCTTATGCTGAAAATTTGAGGATAAAGATTAAATTTTTATTTCAGGCTTTGATTTTTAGCATGCAAAACTTGTGTGTAAGCGATTCTAGCTCCATCTTTTATTCTAAAAAGCAATTGAAAAATGCAGGTCTAGTGGATTGCCTCCTCCTCCACCTGCAGTGGATCTTGAGCTTGAGAAGGTGCTTGGCGATATGCCTAAAAAGACATTTGAATTTCGTCGCATGAACTATCTGCGTGAACCACTTGATATTGCTCCTGCAACAACAGTCTTAGATTCATTGAAGAGGGTCCTGAGGCTCCCTTCTGTTTGTTCGAAAAGGTTCTTGACCACTAAAGTTGACAGGTGTGTCACAGGCCTTGTGGCACAGCAGCAAACTGTGGGTCCCCTGCAGATTCCTCTTGCTGATGTTGCTGTTATAGCTCAAACTTATACAGACTTAACTGGAGGTGCATGCTCAATCGGGGAGCAGCCAATAAAAGGTCTTTTGGATCCAAAAGCAATGGCACGGCTGGCTGTCGGAGAAGCACTCACAAATCTTGTTTGGGCGAAAGTTACCTCTCTTTCTGATGTTAAAGCAAGTGGAAATTGGATGTATGCTGCAAAGCTAGATGGTGAAGGAGCTGCAATCTATGACGCTGCTCTTGCTCTTTCTGAGGCTATGATTGAACTTGGGATTGCAATTGATGGAGGGAAAGATAGNATTACATCTCTTTCTGATGTTAAAGCAAGTGGGAATTGGATGTATGCTGCAAAGCTAGATGGTGAAGGAGCTGCAATGTATGACGCTGCTGTTGCTCTTTCTGAAGCTATGATTGAACTTGGAATTGCAATTGATGGGGGGAAAGACAGCCTTTCCATGGCAGCCCACTCGTCTGGGGAAGTTGTTAAAGCCCCAGGGAATCTAGTCATCAGTACCTATGTGACATGTCCTGATATAACCAAGACAGTTACGCCAGACTTGAAGCTTGGAGATGATGGTGTACTGCTTCATATTGACTTGGCTAAAGGAAAACGACGACTTGGTGGATCTGCTCTTGCCCAGGTTTTTGATCAAATTGGGGACGAAAGTCCTGATCTGGATGACGTATCTTATCTTAAGACTGTTTTTAATGAGGTTCAGAATCTAATCTCTGATGAGCTGATATCTGCTGGTCATGATATCAGTGATGGGGGACTTTTAGTGAATGCTCTGGAAATGGCATTCGCAGGGAACTGTGGCATTCACTTGGATTTAACTTCTTTAGGGAGTAGTGTACCCCAAACACTTTTTGCAGAGGAGCTTGGCCTGCTCATTGAAGTTAGCAGGAAGAACTTGGATTTAGTTCTGGAAAAGCTCTGCAGTGGTGCTGTTTCAGCTAATATTATTGGTCAAGTTACTTCATCTCCAATAGTTGAATTGAGGGTTGACGGGGTTACTCATTTGAATGACAAAACTTCTGTGCTCAGGGATATGTGGGAAGAAACCAGCTTTCAATTGGAAAAGCTCCAAAGACTGGCTTCGTGTGTAGAATTAGAAAAAGAAGGATTGAAGAATCGGCATGAACCATCCTGGAAACTATCCTTCACACCAACATTTACTGATGATAAGTATATGACTGCCGTTTCAAAGCCAAAGGTCGCAATTATTCGCGAGGAAGGCAGCAATGGTGATAGAGAAATGACTGCAGCTTTTTATGCTGCTGGATTTGAGCCATGGGATGTTGCAATGTCAGACCTTCTCAATGGAGTCATCATGCTTGATGAATTTAGAGGAATTGTGTTTGTTGGAGGTTTTAGTTATGCTGACGTGCTTGATTCTGCAAAAGGCTGGGCAGCGTCCATTCGCTTTAATCAACCTCTTTTAAACCAATTTCAGGCATTTTATAACCGTCCAGACACTTTCAGCCTCGGAGTTTGCAACGGGTGCCAACTTATGNTGGAGTTTGCAATGGGTGCCAACTTATGGCTCTGTTGGGTTGGGTTCCGGGGCCCCAAGTGGGAGGTGTTTTCGGTGCCGGCGGGGACCCATCACAGCCTAGGTTTGTACATAATGAGTCTGGAAGATTTGAATGCCGCTTCACGAGTGTGACAATAGAAGAATCACCGGCCATAATGTTCAAAGGTATGGAAGGTAGTACACTGGGCGTTTGGGCTGCTCATGGTGAAGGAAGAGCTTATTTCCCTGATGATAGTGTTTTCAATCATATTGTTGGCTCCAACTTGGCACCAGTGAAATATTGCGATGATGATGGCAGACCAACAGATATATATCCTTTCAATCTTAATGGTTCTCCCTTGGGTGTGGCGGCAATTTGTTCTCCAGATGGGCGACATCTTGCGATAATGCCTCATCCAGAACGCTGTTTCTTGATGTGGCAGTTCCCATGGTATCCTAAAAATTGGGATGTTGAAAAGAAAGGTCCAAGTCCCTGGTTGCGCATGTTCCAAAATGCCAGAGAATGGTGCTCATGAGGTAATTCCTTTACTTAATTATCAACTCTTCTGTCATGTTTCTATCCCTGTTGGAACTATGAAGAAACATGTAGCATAAAGACTGGTTTTGAGTGCATTATGTTTTGACTTATCCACTGTCGTATTTCAATCAATTCTTTCAAAGGCCTGTTCTATTTATATGTTTCATTGCAGTTATACTTGCAGAGGTCGTTGTAGAATATGTCCTAGTCCCTTATGTAGTAGGAGTAGAATATGTATTAATATAGGGCTCATTGTATCATTGTTAATAAATAGATTTTTCTCCCATGCATTCTCACAGATTGTATGCCGCCAGCACTATTCATCGAGTCTGCATCACAACATGATAATGAAGCTACCATCTAGTTACTTTTAGGTATGGGTAAAGAAACTTATGTTTATTGCATAAATTTTTTCTTGTGGGAAATCTCTTGCATATGTTAAAAGAACTGAAAAGAATAACAGAATTATGTAGTGACATTTAATTTTGGGTTAAAATTTAAAAAGTTTTAGAAGTTGGAAAGGTTAAGCTTTCATTCTTCTTATAAAAAAAAGTTAAGCTTTCATTCGCTCTTTCTGAGTGCTTTCCTTTTCTTTTCTCTACTGCAATTCTTGCTGTAACAACCAGCTTCACGGTCTCTATAAGGTGTTGTATTAAGCTGGGATTAGGATGACCTTTAAATTTCTCTTCTTAATATTTTTTTGATAAGGTAAATTGTATTAATCAAAAGGGAGAAAAAACTCCCGCATACAAGAAGTGTACAAAAAAGTAGAGAATTTACATCAGAACATGATTCTCTACAAAAGACGCCCAATCTTCTACACAAGTAGGGGCTATATGTGTGCACCAAAAAGCGATCAAAGATAAAAGGCTATTCTTAAGATGTGAAAACGGAGAATCAATCCCCTCAAAAACTCTCCTATTTCTCTCTCCCCAGACTATACACATGAGAGCTAACGGGGCGAACTTCCACGCCTTTTGCTTGCTTCTTCTACGGAAACCGGCCCAACTATATAGCATTTCCTTTACAGTGTTTGGCATCACCCATTGAACACCAAAATGATTCAGGATTGCCCTCCACAAACCCCAGGACACAGGGCAATGCAACATAAAATGATCAACTTCTTCCCCTGAGCTTTTACACAGGTAGCACCAACTAACATGTGTAATTCCTCTCTTTCGTAGATTTTCAGCTGTCAAGATCACTCCCCTCGCTGCTAGCCATGCAAAAAAGCACACCTTCGTGGGTGCCTTAGGAATCCAGATCGATGAGTATGGATAAGTAGCCTCCTCTCTCACCAACATACTCTGGTAAAAGGACTTTACGGTGAACAAACTATCGCCACGCAACCCCCATCTCTAAGAATCGCAAGATGGATGGGGCATGTCTTGCCCGTATAGCAGTGCCAACAAATTTTGGAGTTCCGCAATCTCCCAATCTTGCATGTTCCTTCTAAAAGAGAGGTCCCATACTATCCCCTTCATGCTCCTTGCGAATCTGTTGGACCATCAATTCCTTCTGGTTTGAAACTCTGAAGACGTGGGGAAAAGAGACCCTCAGAGTATCCTCTCCACACGACCTGTGATTCCAAAAGCTGATTCTCCTTCCATCTCCCACCCTGTAAGTGATGTTGCCATAGAATGCTTTCCAGTTCTTAATGATGTTCCTCCACATGCCACACCCGAATGGTGCTGTGATTGCCTTGGTCCTCCAACCCCCTCCCGTGGAATCGTACTTTTCTACTATGACCTCCCTCCATAGAGCATGCTCTTCTACCCCGAATCTCCACAGCCACTTCCCCAGCAAAGCTCTGTTGAATACCCTGAGATCTTTTACTCCAAGTCCACCCCACTTCTTTGGGGAAGTGACTGTCTGCCAATTCACTAAATGAAACTTTCTAGTTCCATCTGCCGCATCCCAAAGAAAATTCCTTTGAAGCCGTTCCAGTTTTTCTGTGATGCTCACAGGTGCTTGCAACAGGGACAAGTAATAGGTAGGGATACTCGACAAAGTGCTTTTGATAAGCACTTCCTTACCGCCTTTTGACAAGTACCATTTCTGCCAGCCTGCTAATCGTTTTTCAACCCTTTCAATGATTGGATTCCAAACCGAAGTATCCTTTTGCAAAGCGCCCAATGGTAGACCCAGGTAAGTAGTGGGAAGAGAGCCCAACTTACATCCGAGAACATGAGACAAAGCATCAATGTTAGCAACCTCACCCACCGGGAAAATCTCACACTTGCCGAGGTTGATTTTGAGTCCTAATACTATCTGAAACCACTGTAGTACCTGCTTCAGGAAGGTCAACTGATCCATATCTGCATCACAGAAAACCAGGGTGTCATCCGCAAAAAACAAATGAGAGACTCTTCAGGCACTAAGCACCCCGATCGGAGCTGAGAATCCTCTCAAGAAGCCTCCACTCGCCGCACGATCCATCATTTTACTCAGAGCATCCATCACTAAAATGAATAGCATGGGGGATAGGGGGTCACCTTGCCTGAGCCCCCTGGAGCTGCCAAAGAAACCACACGGGCTACCATTAACCAGGACAGAGAATCTGACTAAGGAAATACAGAACTTGATCCATCCCCTCCATCTTTCCCCAAACCCCATCCGCTTCATAATGAAGTCCAGGAACTCCCAATTGACATGGTGCTGTCCAATGTTGTGACTCAGATTTTCAATCCAGAAGAGTTGCGTCAATAGTGAACTCTTTGGTTGTAGATCAAGCTATTACTATATCACTTTAGGTTATTATTAATAAATTTTTGCATAATTAATCTTATACGGTAGCACTTATTCCAAATGTATCTTCATTAGACATGCTTCTTTGTAAAGTATGTATACGGAAAATAAGTTCATGTTTTTGTCAAATGTACAGATTTTCTGAAAATTCTGAAGTCATGACATTGTTTGACAGACAAATATTATTAGAGGGGCAAAGCTGAGAGGCAGGTGCTGTTCTTTATCACATAGAGGTTAAAGTGCAAAGATTGGACAGAAGCGACACAGTTTAATAGTCAGTGCTGAAGGTGCAGAGATTAAGATCAGTGCAGAGCTTGAGATCTCTGCAATTTTGTTTCTGATACCATGGCACAAAGCAGATGAATTTTTCAATTTAACTGGCTGATTGTCGTTTCTTTCGATACTGATGGACTTTTTCATTGCCTCTTAGCTGTTTCGCTTGTTTCTTGTATACCATAATTGGTTTTTCTTATGTCTTACATATCTGATCAACTGATTTTTTTGAGCATTTTTCGTATCAATTTTCCAACTCCTCTTCACTTTGTGCATCATCCCTCATAGGGTGTGCTTGTGTTGGTTGTGGGGAACTGTCCTGTGTTATATTCCATTTCATTACAATATATAGGGTGTGCTTGTGTTGGTTGTGGGGAACTGTCCTGTGTTATATTCCATTTCATTACAATATATAGGGTGTGCTTGTGTTGGTTGTGGGGAACTGTCCTGTGTTATATTCCATTTCATTACAATATCTGAGTATGGATTTTGCTGTTCCTCCTGTATTTTTTTTTCTTACGTTGTTTGGTTTTTTTTTTTTTTTTTTTTTTGGGAGGTGGGCACTGAGGTTAGGGAGGGCAATGCAAAGTGAAAGACACCTTATGAAGATCAAACTTGATCCAGGAACCATATGTAAACATGGTATCTGCTTAGATAGGACCGATTGACCCCTTCTCATAATGAGAATGTATATGACTTTCGGCCTATTCCCATATGGAATGAACTTATAATCATGCATATATATAGAAGGGAACTTCATTCTCGATTCTACGAGAGTTTTCTTGAAAGCAATATAGTAATTCCTGTTTATATTGCTTTAATTCTTATCTATTTGCCTTTGTTTTGCCCCTTTTTGCTTTGTCAGTTCCAACTGTGAAATTTACGAGGTGCCTATTTAAACATGGAAAAATGTACCGCTTGTATATTGTTTTGGAGAAGTTTATGCTGTTACATTTGAATTTTCTTTCATGTGCTTACCCCTTTATTTACACTTTGGTCATTATGTTAAATTGTTAAATGAGGAAAGAAATTCTCACTTCTCTTCATTGTTTTTTTTTCCGCTTGTTCTTAATCCTAAATGTTGTGACTGCAACATAAACCTTGTTGGACCTTGTTTTAAGGACAAGGGAAGATGTTTGCTGTATTTGTACACTGAAATACTTTGATAGTGGTATCTATAGAACACTTTAAGAAGCTGTCCAACCAAGTCAAATTTGAGGTTTTTAGTGGTTCAATCATGAATTTCACTTGGAATTATTGAAGTCTTGGAAACACTTCAGGCTACTTAAAACTCTGGGAATATGCAAATGTCTTTCCTGGATGACCTTTTCCTTCATATGAATATCAAAACATCAACTATCTGTCAAATCATTGGTAAAGTGATATCTTGTTGAGTTCTCTCATCACGCCACCTTGTTTTTCGATTTGATAGTCAGGTTCATGAGAGAATAGGAAGAAAGAATCCTGAACAAGAAATTCTTGGCCATATAGAAACTAAAAATTAATTCAAGTAAATAATTTTCTAAATGGAAAACGGAATTTCATATAATACTAATATATAGAAGAGGCTTGGCAAGCAGGAGACGGCTGTTTTTGCTGTTTCAAATTTATCTTGCTTTTCTTTTTCTTGTTTGAATGTTATTTGACAATCGAGATGCATTTCTATTGCATCAAAGACAGTAGCAGAAATGTTTCTCTGAGGTACCATATTGTCCTTTTATGGAAATACTTCAGTACCTCATTGGTTACTGATTATGGAAAGAAATAAAGCTCCCCAATGGAAAGTGAGAAAATGTGTTAATAGCCCATGTATTCTCATTTTGATACTTGCTTTGTTTTTGTGTTTGAGTTGGCATTCAGTTTGTACTAAAATTATTGCCTAATGAAAGAAAACAAAAAGTTAAAATAACAAAATATTTCAATCGTTGATAGCCTGATACTATGATTTTACATGAGCTACTAACTGTAAGATTGTAAATTCTTGCCTTATTTCTGTTATGTGATACTCTTATGCATTAAGTTCTGACAATTTGTTAGATTTTGCTTGGTTTGCGTAGAAGAATAATGTGTATGAGCTGCCTATATGTGACTCCTTTTATGTAGTCAATTACATGATAACTACAAGTCTTATCCAATGTGAATATGAAAACCTTAGGGGTATTCTTTTACTGTAATAATACTACTACTGTTCATTGCTGAATGATTGGGACTCATTGGGTACTTGTATTTTGTTGTTTTCAAAGTTGAGTTGCTTAGACTAAAATGAGATCGTGTACTTGAAAACAAGTATGTGTAAGAGGATAAGACATGCTTTAGCGTCAGTATTAGTATGTTGGCTTTTCTTTTATGGTTGGTGAGTTGATATGTTGGCAGAACTACAGCAAGAGGAAGTAATAGGAGATTTGCCAGGTGGTGATGTAATCTCCACACAACTAAGCTATGTCCTTTGGCTTTTGATCTTACAGGTTTCCGAGATAAAAGCAGAACACTTTCCACCTAAAATGGACATTGTTATTCAAAACGAGATACCAACAGATTTCTACAATATTGTCTGTGGAGCTGTGGTATGTGCCGCTCCTGTCCAACTTTTGCTCTTATCTACTCCTACACAGTAAACTGCTCAGTGGTTATAACTGCATGAAGTGATTACATAGATTAGAATGGAACTGGTTAGTTATCCCATTCTCACACTGTTCGATGCTGCTCCTAACTTTTCTTTCCTGTCATAGTAACTGCCAGACCTAGTAAATTGACTAAATTTAAAGAATGAAGAAGAAAAGGAATAATGATAATTTCTAACCAAGTTCCTGGAGAATACAGGAGCAGAAGTCCACAGTGCATATTGATCTCAATTCTTCTATAAATAAGAAGGCACAAGATGAGTATGGTTGCTAAAAATATTTTTTGAGAAACACGCACATTTGGCCGTTCGGCCAAAAATAATTACATCCGCTAGCCAAATATATAAAAAATAAGTATAAAATATGTATATTATACATTAATATACCAAAAATATACATTTTACCTGCTATTATTTTTGGGAGCGACTATACTGTGTAGTCCCCCCCTAAAAAAATAAAGAATCTAATCTATACTAATAACTATATTTCCTCAGATTGTCGGTGCTTGATGAGGTTGGAGGAAGTGAGGACGGGTATTACGAGGTTGTTGGAGGGATAATTCCGACTCCTCTTGTAGTGAAGGATACTAGATAAGTGAAAACATGTGGTATATTGCTTGGTTTTGCTGGACATCAGAGAAAAGTTGAAAAATATACAGGTTATGGCTGTTTTTTCCTCCTAGCTGATGACAAATTTTGAGAAGTTGGATAGATAAAAACAAGTATTTTTCATTTTGAGGTCTCGGAATCAAGGTTTAGACTCCATTACTCGAGTCAGAGTCTTCATGGACTTGTATTTTGATAAAGTCTTTTCTATTAATCCAATTAAGATGTCCTTTTTGGCTTGCATAACCCCATATTCCAGAATGCTCCACATATATACCGTTCTCATATGGCATGTCAGGCTGATCCTTACCTGAAGAACAAAAAAAACCAAATTTTTACCTCCGCCTATGTTTGAGTTATACTGTAACACAGCCGGTCTTTCCTATTTAGTAGTAATAGCTTTACTACAAATTTCCCTAATCGCTTCCATTGTTTTCTTTTGTGAATTGCAGTTAATTAGGTGCTTTCTGGTTCCATTAAAGCGGAAAATATTGAAGCCATATATCACACTTTTAAGGACTCTGCTTTTATTAGTAAACCAGCTGGAGGAACTTTACAGTTCTAAATTGCGGGGGGTTAAAGCCTTCTTTTGATTTTGTTTCTCACCGTGTTAGCCGCATATAGGTGCTTTTGATGTCTATCTTTTTATATAAAGTGGTCAACGCCTCGTTTCAAGTTACCAGTTAGTTAGTCTATATATACATTGATGTGAACTGAGCATGTTCAGCGATCCTTTTAGACCTACCTTTTTGCAAAATTCAAGTCTGCTCTATGACTATTTTTTTGGCATCCTGCATAAAAAAATAAAAAAATATAGCTACTTATTCTAATAGGGTATTAAGATGTTAAATGCAAGGATAGTTGTTAGCGGCTTGTTAGGACATTGAAGAGGGCTATTGTTCTCATAGGTGTTGAAATACAGGTGGATCTAATTGCAGCCATGTAAATCGATAAATTAGTGTTCCATGTGTTGTCACAATTTGTTGACTTGCATTTTTCAAAAGTGATCAGGCATAATGATAACTTGGTTTTGAGTTGTGTTGAAATTTCTTTCTTTTAGATGTGAATTCTTTTAATTTCGCTGCTGAAAGTGAGAAGAGTCTATTCCAATAGTGTGTTTTCTCTTGTAATAAAATTTAGACTTATTTTCGTGTGCACTGGGGCAACTTATTGATGATGTAGAATGAAATGGCTCGTGTTTTGTTGATATTGTGGATAGACGAAAGGAGGAGGATTCGTGAGCTAGAATTCCTTTATTCCTTTGACAGCACAACCATTGTTGACTTGTGAAAAGTAATAGCAATAATCTTGATGCTGGAACGGCAAATACATTATGTTTTATTTTGTTAACATGGTAAAAAGTACATGTTCTTCAGCTGAATATTATAACTCCGTATGATGAAAAACTGTATTTATCGGACAAAAAAAAAGGGTATAATGCAAACAAGCACGGGCTAGTCCCGTCTATTGTACAGATAAAAATGAAAACTACACCAAGTTTTCTTATGTTCATGAGCAGAAAAATTATGTTGCAAGCTCAAATATTTCGATAAATTTCATTAGCCGTAGTGTCATTTTCTCATTAAGCAATCTTAAACCTATTTTTAGAGTCTTCAGACGCAGGGATACAATAACATTGAGTCTTAAATCTGACCAACTTATGCTAAGTCAATTTTGTCTAAGATATAGTGTAGTATCTGTACTGTTCAGTTGTAGAAGTTTATCACAAACAGACTGACAAATGTAAAATCAGTATCCATAACCATAAGTATAGTAGTTCGTGCTTAGATTAGAACTTCTTTTGCTCGCTTCTAAAATACGAAAGAGTAGACCGAGGAAAACTCTACTTTACAGACTTGCGCCTCCACTCAACTTTCCACCTACGACCTATTCCAAGTAATTCAGTAAAACTACTCCTTTCCGAAATCAGCCAACTGTTTTTTTTAATCCACAACAACAACAACGCTATTGGGGTGACTCGAACTCACAACCTCTTGGTTGGAAGTGGAGGATGCTTTCCTACTTTTGAATCCAATCTTTAAGCTATGGAGCACTCAAAAGTACACTGTTTGGGGTGAACTCATGAAAAAGAAGGCAGAGAGCAGTTAGGTTGATATGTAAGAACTTCAATGACATAAGATGTGAAAGTAGGCAATATTAATTATCACGGGTTCCACTTTTAATGGAATCTGTTGCCACCAAGTTTTATGTAATAGAACAAAAATTACTTTCGCAGCAAGAAATCTGATGGAACACCTGACTTTACGAGATTCCAATAAGATTTGGGAAAATAATTGAACAAATGTTACATGAGAAACAATGTACTTTGAAACTACTAAGCCTGTAATTATTTTCCCGCTTGAATACACTCAAAGCTGAGAAGGGCCTAGTCCAAAAATAAAAAAAGTCTATGATTAGTTACCATGGAGATTGCAATGGTTTCTCCAGCAATAAAATGATTAGAAGCTCCATCTCATTCTCATGTCATCAGCGAGGTCTATGGAAAGAAGAATGATATTAACGGATCAAAAATCAGTTAAATAGACGCTCAATTATGTATGCTTCCTCGCACGACCACTGGAAGGAGCAGCATCCTCTTTCCTAGTACCAGATGCCTCAGGCTTCCTTGCCCACGCGGGTGCACTGTCTGGTTCATAACGATAATCGTAAAAGAGTTCTTCTCCAGCGCAAATTCTTTCATTGGCAAAGATACCAACTCTGTGATCTCCAGCCACCATCATGACCTATCGAAGAGTTGAGTCAGCAATGCAGAAACAGGAATTCGATCATGGCCTTGAAGTTTTTATATATATATTTAAGTACCTTAGCATAGCAATTTGGAACAGGAGAATGATTTGCAAATTTTAGTTTATCACCCTTCCGATGAGCATCAAGCACAAACTGCACCAGGAAAAAGATAAGTTGTTCGTATGAGTTGGTGGCTGAGACCATTAATTCTACGGACTAAAATACAAATAGCGGAGTATAGAGGGTGTCATGTCTCATGCCTGATCATTTAGATTGAATAGAAATGAAGAATTTTCACGATCATAAATCTTGCCACGCTTGTCAGCTTCACGGTGTGAAATTAATTCACCTGTGTACTCCCCAAGGTATTCATGCTTTCCAACAGTATTCTGAAAGTAATGCTTAAAGATGAGGCCCCAAGAAACATGTTTCTACTTTATGTAAACCCATCATGTTGTCAGATCTTACCTTCAAGAAAGCTCCCCAGCCAGAAACATCAGATCTACCAAGAAGAACCTGTAGATGAATATAAGGCATCACAATCAGCCTAGAACTGAGATTTGACAACTTTCATTCTTAACTTAGAACACCACGGAGAAGGTGGGAAAGGAGAAGGAAAGCAGCAGCTTCCTTTTGATGACTGATTACAGCAAAAGCTCAGATGATACATTAAACTATAATGTGCAATATAGCAATATAATTGTCCACCTCAAAATGAATACCACAAGATTTTTTCATTTAGGGTGGACTGTCACAGCAAGTTACTAGAGAACGAATTAAAGGGCCTTTTTGTCAATTAGGACCAAGCCAGAAACATCCTTAAAAATTGACTCAACAATCTAGCCAGGGAAGAAGTTGAACATAAAAGAGTACGAAAGAACTCATATAATTCAAGAGCACACAAATTCTCAAAAGAAAAATCTTTTCCAGATAGAGGACAGAGGACGGTAATAGAACCCAGCAAAAAAATGTATACCCATTGGATAAGAAACTTCAACTCAAAAATTGATACCCTCTTTATGGAGAAAAAGGAAGACCCAGCCCAGTAATAATTACTTGTCTATGTGGTAAAATTTCACCAATTTCAAGAAATAACAAATATAAATACCTTTTGTTGCTGTTTGAGAAGCAGCTTCATATTCCTGCATTCATGACTATCACCTCTTTGAGGAGGAACCCCAAGAGTTCCATCACCACAACTGGGAAAGCCAAATAACATGCACGTGAATTATTTGCGAAAAGAGATGAGTGCTAAAACATATAGTTTTGTTCATTTTGAAAGATAAGACTATTGTTGAAGTCCGCACAAGACAATCATTATCTGAATGGTTTAGCTTGGCAGTTGAAAATAGTTACTGCTAAGTTTGTAATAATTGCTAATGCAAAAAGGTTTAGTCCTTCAACTGGCATACCCACAACCCAAAAAAGTAGAATTAAGGCTTTGGAAAAAAATAGTGAGATTTGGGACAAAAAAGAACTCCACTACCACTTTCCTCTAGAAAGGAACAAGATGATTAGCAAGTACTAACCCAAGGCAGGTATACAAAAGATGGGCGATCCAACCAAGGAAGAAAAACTATTAAAGATGATTAGAAACAGTTTCTGCTATGGTATTGCAAATCTAAATTAACAGCTTAAAGGAACTAGAAAGCAACAGAAAATAACAGCATGGCTGATAGAGCGCACCTGATCCAACAATTTCGACAAACATCAGGATCACATTCCCTGCCTGCAGCAAAGCAAGGGCATTGACGGCTTCTGCATTGACTTTTGGCACAATGACAACCACGAAACCTATTTTTGCAACTCTTTGGGCATCTAGGAATAAAATTAGCAAAGCAGTCAAGCAACATTAGCTAATCAAAGCATTAAATCTGAAATAACAAAGAGATGCATGGCAAAAGATACAAAGTCTGAGGTTGTGAATTTCAAAAAAGGTAACCCAGTGTCTGCTTCACAGTTGTCATAGCAATTTCTTTTTTGATAAGTAAGAAGCAAATGTTCAATGAGAAAATCTCATAGGAATTTCAAGAGAACAATGCTGACTTACCCACAGTATTTTTCACAGCAGGTCCCATTTACAATGCAGGGACATTCTTTTCCACAAGGGCCTTGGCAGCCACATGGATTATACTGCCGACAGGGTTGATCCTTCCTCTCAGAAATCCGCTTCCTAATTGCATGATATCCAGCGGATTTCCATGTGTATTTTAATCGGCGAACTCTGCCTCTTCTACGTAAAAATTTGGATCTTCTTCGAGGTTCATTACCCTAAAATATATTATGAATTTATTATCACAACAGGATTTACCTAAGTGGGCTATGATTCAACTTCCCCCACCTAAGCAGAACAATTTTGAGAAAAGTAAACACTGACCAGGATATCCAGACCATCGTTGGAACCACCTTCAAGGCCACCATTCATTCCATCACCTGCTCCTGAGAATAGCTTATTCCCGGAATTGTTCATATACTTGAAAACCTCCCAGCATGTCTTCAAACCATTCATGAGATTCCGAGCAATCAAACAGCTGTATAACAAATAAAGTTGATAGTCCAGGTTAAAATCAAAGGTGTAATGATACAAATGAGAAAGGCACTCAAATTTATCACCCAAAGGAAAAAAATTTAATCTTCACAACCAATGAAACACAAAGGAGTTCGTCTGTAGGTTTTCATATTCAATGTTTGAACAACTCAACTGGCGGTTCGCTTAGTACAAAGATTCTAGGCTGACTCAGTCAAAGATTTTAGGCTGACGCAGTTCATCTCATAAAGTTTGGACCAATCGCCATACCCTAAGTTTCTAATTTCAGAGAGTGAAGAAAATCACTGCCTTATGGGTAGATATGATACTTCTCATGCTGCACAAACAACAAATGACCCCAGGATAAATTTACATTATCTCTCATTTAAGGATAGCAAATTAGTGACAAGAAGCTTGCTTTATGCGAGCTTTGAGCAGTCTGATATCTTGGTACACAGATCAAGGTTGTGAGTTGACAAATGACCAAGTTGGACAGGTGAACTTGTATGATGGCTAATGGGTAACAATAAATAAATAAACCTTACATTTTCATTAATTAGGAGGCACTGTAAAACGGGATTGGAATCCACAGCATCAAAGAAAGCTATCCAAGCCAGCTTTTCTTTTTTCCCCTTGTTTTGACAACGGTGGTATCTAGGCCAACTTGTGTGCTTGCTTTTCAAAAGCTAGCACAAGGCATCTAACTAATATGCTGAGCATCATTTTCTTTTTTAATCAGAAGGCAGGCAATGTGTCAGTGACGATTTCACATCTTATAATACAAAACACAAAAACTTATAAAGATCCCCACTTATATGGAAGCAAAATAAGCAAGAGCAGAGATATATATAGCAAAGCATAGTTTTGGAGTTTACCAAC